CCTTCCTTCCTTCCTTCCTTCCTTCCTTCCTTCCTTCCTTCCTTCCTCTTTCTCTCCCCCTCTCTTTTTCCTTCTCTCTCTCTCTTTATTTTTTCCATTGAACGACAATGTTTAAAATGCAGGTTTAAAAATACCTAAGTCACAGATATACTACCAAATATCTGTTTGATCTTGGGCAGGTCTCTTATCTTCTCTGGGTCTAAATTTGTCATGTATAATACATGGCCTGAGCCTTGAAGATGTATTTTAATTCTAATGTTCTCTGACTATACAAATATAAACATACTGAGTCAACTTCTAAGCCTGCTCATGGTGAAGACTCATTCCAATCCTAGACTTTCAGAACTGGAAAGCATTTAGTCAACCTAGACAGTCATTAAATTACTTCTATTACCTTTCCTACACTGTCTTCCTAGTAAATCATTTTAATAAGTATTTTAAATGCTATGTATATAATATGGAAGTTTTGGTTCCTACTCCTGAGTGAAAAAATGTAACTCTTTCAAGCAGAAATGTTCAGAGAAATGTCCTGCTGAGTTTTCTTCTTCTGGCCATACAGTCTACATACACAATTAATCTTCCTTTACTTAGATTAACGTTACTTATCTGGACTTGTCAAATTAACACTGTAATCAAAAATCTCTAGTAGAGACTTGAATATATCCCTCCTATGTGTTCTCTTAATTACTGAAAGTAACTGGAATCAGGCTCACTTAATGGGGTGCCTTAGTAAGTAAATCTGGTTTATTTCTCCAAAATAGTAATAGTCAAAACTTTATAAACAATGCTTAAAATCAGGTAAAGAAAAGTTAGTATTTCTGACTTTCTTAACTGATGAAATTCCAAGTACTAACTAAAATTCCAGAAGTTTATACTTAATGTGAACTAGTTATAGGCACTGGCATTCGTTCTTATATTAAAACATGATACCACATAGCATATAATCAAATGTCATCATACACAAGAAACTAAATTGCACTTGCCAAAATAGGCAAAGAACTAGGCTATGAAACCCACAATAATATGCTCACCCCACACATTTTTGAATTTCCAAATTCAGATATTTGAGCAGTTTCTGGCTAGCATTAGCTTGATCCAATTATGAAAAGCGACAATAACAATAGATGAAAGAGACAGCTGATTTAGCCAAATCAACTAAACTTGGTCAATAGCCCTAAGGTAATTGAGCCTTTCATTATTGATTAGTATATTCATTATTGACAGTATCTTAGATATCCCATGATATTCTCATTCCTTCATTTATCAATTGTCCATGATGTCAAGGCATTCTTTTAGACATGGTGAGAAACACAAAGACATGAGAAGACATGGATGCTCCTTTCAGAAAGTTTACAATCCAGACACTTGAGGAACTGGTAGGAGAGTGGAAACCTTATGCTTTGGCCATACAGTAAGAGGGTTTTGGTTCTCTCAACTAAAAGCAATAAGGGATCATTGCAAAACAGTGTCAACTGTTATATCTGAAATTCCACCTGGGCTCAAAACCTGATACTACTGCAAGTTGTATAAATTTCGGCAAGATATTTAGTTTTTCTAGCTATCAAATCCTTCATCCTAACATTGATAATTACAGTAGAGATCTCAGAGATTTCCTATGAAGAGTAAATGAGATATGTGTGCAATGTGCACTGCATATAGTATGCATATCAAAAATAAAGGTTAAGGATATTGAAGGGATAAAGAACACACCAAGAATGCTGTCTGTTCTTTGGCAAGATTAAAAATTCAACATTTTATCATATATTAGAGTTGGATGCCTGCATTCATGACTGATGATACAACATTTATGAACTATGAAGGGAAAGAGACTTTCTAAAGCAACACTGCTCAGACAAATGGAGGACAAAACATTTTGGGGAAAACTGATCAAAACATATAATACACTAAACAAAGTGTGCTAGGAAAAAGTAAAGGCTTTACCCAATTGTTTGACAAAATGTCTTATGTTATTTTTTAGACAGTGTGAAGAAGACAGGATTAGAAAGAACAAAGTAGATTTGTTAAGGGGCAGAACAGCCCCTAAAAAGATACTGGAATGTGTAAATATTGACCCGAAAACAAATTCTGGACCTGGTTCCGAGCATTGTATGTGGTAGAGTGGAAATACGATAAGATTTAAAAGTCAGGAAGGTTGAATCTGGGGTTCTTGCTCTAACTCTCATTAGCTGTGAGAGACCTTTGCCTCCTTGACCATCAGTTTCTTCATCTGTGATGGGACGATATGAGGATTGCATGTAGAGCCCTTCCCTTCATGCTCGGCACATCCTAAGGGCTCAATAAATAATACCAATGATAGTTAGTTTTACTTTCATTTCATTTTTGTGATGAGATGAATATGGTTCCAGTATTTTGTTTCCTTTTTTTTTTTTTTTACTGATCTTGGAAATACAGATATACCAAAAAAAAAAAAAAAAGCATTTAATCTGTATTTTATGGGAGGGGTAATTAGTTATGTTCTTTCTGATCATAAGAGGTTGTGTTCTATGATTCAAGTATCTGTCCTGTCTCTAGAGGGTGAACTCCTAAAATATATCAAATATTTCCACTTTTAAACATGCTTATATGTGGGCAATTAAGTTCCTGATACTCCAAGTTTCACTGAAAATAATATAGATAACATCTATAGACTAACCTATATATTCCCTACATAAAGCACTGTCCTATGTGAATGCATTTAGTCTTCACAACAGACATAGAAAGAAGGTAGTATTATCTCCATTTTAAAGATGAGAAATCTCAGATAAATATACTTGAATAATTTGCCTAAGATTAAACAGCTAGTAAGTAGCAGAGAATCCGGACAAGTCTAGGTTGAGAATCTATGTAATTTGCCCCTTATAATAGAATTAATTTGTTCTGAAGAAGCAATGTCATCAATAGAGGTACAGTTGAAATATTTCTATAGGCACTAGATCAGCCAGCAATAGAGCTTAAAAGAAAATAGATATGTTATTTGTATTATTAGTTCTATGGGAATAAGTACTTTGGCTTCCAAAAAAAATAAAAACTGCTTTTTAAATTAACTCTGGAACATAATATGCTCAGAAAATGAGAACTGATTCTATACAAACTGCTGAACCATAAAGCAAAATGATTAAAATCTTAAGTGAGTTACGAGCAGACACACAGGGGTTCAGAAGAAGACATCATTTGACTGGGGTATCCAAACAAGCTTTGTGATGAAGCCAAGCTCAGTCGCAGGATGTGAAACAGAAACAGTGAGAGACCAAAGGGGAACCTGCCTGAGAGCCTAAAATAAACTTACTGCAGCCCCATATCTCTCCTGTTTGTTTCTTTGATTATCGAATTTGACTTCAAAAGCATCTTGGTTTCTGAAGGACCTTTTTGTACCATTTCTATATACAGATATTTCTTTCCCNGACTTCAAAAGCATCTTGGTTTCTGAAGGACCTTTTTGTACCATTTCTATATACAGATATTTCTTTTTTCCCCCCCCTTAGGGTTATAAGAAGTATCAACCCAAAATTGAAGTTAACAGGGAGTATGGGAGGTAGTATTTTTTCCTTTAAGCTGAAAATGCAACATTTTTAGTGGATTAAGAGTATTTGAGCATGAAAGGGACTTTTAAATTTTGTAAACTTTACTTACAAAATTTGTATTTAGAAACATCAATTAAAATAATTTGAGTTTATTTTATAATTCTTCACAGGTATTTACCAGATAATAGTTTAAAATGGTGAGGAAATGGATCAAATATCTCAGAGAGAAAGCATAGGAGTTACTTATTTCAAAGAATTATCATTTTAAGATTAGAAGCACACTATTAAGCTTCAATGAGCAAGAAAAAAACCCACTTGGTAGAGAATTTTATCAAAAGGTATTATTATGATAGATAAAATGTTTAGAGCAAGGATTACACAAGGTAACAAAGCTGTGTTTATACCAAAATATTTGTTGCAAAATAGTGAGAACTGAATGTATAACGTGACTGTTACTGTTGATCAGAGATTAGATATTTAAAAATTTGCTAATCTATTTGCTAATCTGCTTTCTCACTCTATTCCTTCATTAACAAATGTCTTTCTAGCTTCCAGAAGAACCAAAATAAAGTATGTAGGCGAGACCACCTCCGTAGGCTAATAGTTTCTTAGCAGCAGCAGCTAAATTCAATATCAACTTTTAAATCTATAGGCATCTGCTACTCCAGTTCAAAAGTTTAACCCATTGTTAGATTTCCCACACACTCGTGATTCAGAACTGAAAGATAAATCCCTCCTCGACATATCACTTCCCAGTTACTCCACTGGTTTGAGTAGGTGGAAATTCTATTTATAAAAGAAAAAACTGGCCATCTATAGTTAAGAAGAATTCATTCTTAGTATATTTTATGAGGAATACCAGGCAAAAAGGAATATAATGCTTGGATATTCTGTCTATCCATCATCTATCCATCCATCCGTCCATCCATCCATCCATCCATCCATCCATCCATCCATCCATCCATCCTAAAGAGTATTTGTTGAATACTGACTACATATCAGGCACTATATTAGGTGCTAGGACCCAAAGAAGGAAGATGTTAAGATGTATTGTAGACTTACCTTGTGTTAGCCCCGTAGGTGTTTTCAGTCCCTGGCCTCAGGACGTTCAAAACCTAATTAGAAAGAAATAAAAAATTATTTTAAAAAGTATTCCAAACCCTAAATTGTCTTTAAGATATTGTATTTCTGCCATCGTTTTTATTTTTATTTTTTTAAGGGGGGATTCAGACAGAGAGGAGAAGAAACAAAAAGGTTAATGAGAAATTGGCATAAATTTTTGTGGTACAACCTTTAATTGAAATAGCAAATGTCAAAAATCAACATGGACATTTCTTCACATGCCACAGTCGGTATCACATGTGGATACCAACTATTCATTAAAATTTTGAATTCAGGCTTTCCTATCTAACATAAAGTGGTTAAATTGCCTTTCTACAACATCTATTTCTTCGAATCTACTGAAATTGTTACTTTGTTGCTTTCTGAAATTACCCGATACATTTCAAAATTCCCATTCTTTGATCTTTTATGGAACTGGATATTAAGAAAATCACTTAAATGCTGGCAGTCAAGCTAAAGCAAATCCTTGTCTGTCCTACTGCTCCTGGGACTAGCTAGCACCGAACTGTAAATCTTATAAGTACTACATTTATGTAAAAAAACCCCAAAAACTCACTAGTAATTTTGTAAAATCCACACCTCTAAAGCATATAAAAAGGCGTTATGTCTTAATTCCTCCATAGAATCATTTTACAAAGTTTAAAGCCTACCCTAATGATTATCTGTTTTCAGAATTGTTTCCTTCTGTCCAGACCACTTTTTTGTCAACTCTCTTTCACATGTTCAATGCATTTCTCTTTCAGTTCCCAGGGAAGTTATCACATCATGCAGAAAGCCTTCCTTGACCTCTTGTCCCCCACAGGCTTCACTTAGACGAATCTCTTAGATGCTGCAACATCTCTGTGTACTTCCTTATCACATATTATCACATTACTTTGTGTCACAGAAACTGGCTAGTTGATCACCAAACTGTTTCCCTTTTCTTCCTGTTACTGAGCCAGGCTACATTTTGTAGATATTTGTGAGCATGTGATTGAATTCTTCACAATGAGGTACAGCTAGATCACAAATCATGGCACTGTCGGGTCTGGCTTAAAACCATCTCATACATGCTCCTTCTTTTGAAGTTTCCTATCTATAGGTAGAATCACTGAAGGCCTAGAGGAGAAAAGATCCATAAAATAGCAAAAGCCTGGTCCTTAAGCTACAGCTCTCAGGATCAGCCCTCATTCCCACTAATAACGCCCATTCATACTAGAGTGTTAAAAACATGACCATCCATCACCCGGTCTTGATGAGAAACATCTATTGGCAGTGGAGTTTTTTTGTAAATGAGAATTAAATTTCAGTTCTTCATGCCATTAAAAATGCTGGGTGGTCGTTACAGCACTTAACCTACCAACACTGTGATAGCTCGATCTCTTCCAGTAGACTGTAAATTACAGTGTCCTCACAACAATTGGTTTTCTCTTTCGAGGTTTTAGCTGAGACCCTAACACAGTATATGGCACATAATGACCATCTCCCTATATTTTACATTTTGAAATGTATAGGATAAAATCTACCATGAGATTTCCATAGGAAATACTATTCTGAATACAGTTATTCCTTTGCAGTGAAATCCAAGGCTTCATTCAGCACAGGCTTCAAAATTCCTTTTGGTAAAATCCTTAAAGGCAGAAACTGAGTTTGCTTAGGAGTTCAAAGCAAGTGGAAACATCGGAGCATTTTTGCAAAACTGTTTTCATAGACTTCTATTTGCAGCTTTTGGTAAGATAGTGAGAACAGTGTAAAACCTTAGTCAGAAGTAACAGACTTAAAAGTTCCTTGATGCAGTTGCTATGATATGAAATCACCTTTGAACCTCCACTGGGGATTTAACGCCAAGGAGAGAAAATGAAAGGTAATTTTCTTTCCCTTTCAAAACAATAACCAATCACCGAACTCAAGACCTTCTGCTCTTCTCACAGAACAATGAAATAGTTTTTGAAGTTTAGACAAAAGCAGAGACATCCAACAAGCAATATCAAACCTCAGACACGCCTTTGTCCTGTTACTCCTACTGGACCGTCCACAGATGAAACTGGACGACCACCTGTTTGTTGGAGGTCAGTTCCAAACCATGTCTTCGTAAATCTCACCTCTCTGTCTCCTTACTATTATCCACGTGTTGGGTAAATTTAATCCTGTTTGGTGGAATCTAACTTTCAAACACATACTTCTTTTACTTTGAGCCCTATGTAATTAAGAAAAAAATAGAGGCAATGGTCAGATCTTTTTGTTTTCTCTTAACTGAAGGAAGATTCTTCTGTTGGGCAGGCAGATATCGTTCAACCTAATTTAAAAATCCTCCAGCTTGGTTCCACGACTCAGTTAGGTTATTGCCAAATGGCACCTTTAGGCTAGATTTTATGGTAGTAATAAATTTGTATTTCACTCACATCAGTGTTAATATATCATTTTCCTTGGCAAAGCACTTGTCTTTTTAGTGTCACACAAATGCACAGTGGATTTGCCAGCTGAAGCCATTTCTTAAAATTTTCAAGACATTATGACAACCCTTCTGCTTCTCAGTCTATCACAAAGCTATCTTTCCTGAGTACAAATATCAATCTAATGACTTGATGATCTAGAAGAGGAGACAACAGAAAGTATTTAATACCAGCCAGAAATATATTTTTTTAAAATTTTATCTAAGTCATGCTTAATGTTTAGGTCAAATGTGCTTTCTGCTGTGGTCCAAGTACAAATTATTAAAACATTTCAATTTTGTTTTCTTTTCTGGAAATTAGGGGAAAATGGATCATAAATTCTCATAAGCAGCATAAAATGGATTTCTGGAAATTGACTTATCCAAGTGCGCACGCTCCAGCTCATAGAACATGCCTGATGTGGGTGAGAGAATGAACCAAACAATACAGGGACTATTGTAACAGTATGGGCTCTCTCACTTCCATGATTTATGCCAAAGTTTTGACTACTTGTTGTGGCTGAAAAAACTATACGACCTAAAGTCAGTAACTTTCAAGAGCAGACCTGTCCGTGGTGATATATAATCTGGCCTGATACATATTATCATCCAGGCATACCTAGGAGATATTGCTGGTTTGGTTCCAGGCCACTGCAATAAAGTGAATACCACAATAAAGTGAGTCAAAAAATGTTTTTGGTTTCCCAGTACATATAAAAGTTATTTTTACACTATCCTACAGCCTATGAAGTGTGCAATAGCATTAGGTCTATAAAAAAACCATGTACATGCCTTAATTAAAAAATACTTTATTACTAAAAAAAGGCTAACCATCATCTGAGCCTTCAGTGAGTTGCAATCTTTTTGCTGGTGGAAGGTCCCACCTTGATGTTGATGGCTGCTGGCTGATCAGGGTGGTGACTGGTGAAGGCTGGGCTGGCTGTGGCATTTCCTAAAATAAGACAACAATGATGCCTGCCACTTTGATGGACCCTTCCTCTCATGAATGATGCCTCTGTAGCAGGCAGTGCTGTTTGATGGCACTTCACCCAGAGGAGAACCTCTTTCAAAATCGGAGTCTCAATCCCTGCCACTGCTGTATCAACTAAGGTTATGTGATATTCTAAATCTTTTCTTGTCATTTCAACAATCTTCATAACATCTTCACCAGGAATAGATTCCATCTCAAGAATCCACTTTCTTTGCTCATCCACGAGCAGCAGCCCCTCAGCCATTAAAGGTGCAGCAAGTCGGTCCCATGTGCAGGCTCCGGTCCTGATCTCGGTGATCTTGCTCTTCCTCCCGCACCTGCAGGGACTCCCTTCAGCGAAGACTTGAGCCCCTCAGGAGGGTTGCGGTCAACTTCTTCCAAACTCCTGTTAATGCTGATATTTTTACCTCTTCCCGTGAATCATGAATGCCTTTAATGGCATCTAAAATGATGAATCGGCCCGGCCGGTGTTGCTCAGTGGTTGAGCGTCGACCCATGAACCAGGAGATCATGGTTCAGTTCCCGGTAGGGTCAGGGCGCATGCCTGGGCTTTGGGCTCAGTCCCCAGTGGGGGGCATGCAGGGGCAGCCGACTGGTGACTCTCCCATCACTGATGTTTCTATCACTCTCTCCCTCTCCCTTCCTCTCTCTGAAATCAATAAAAACATTTAAAAAAATTAATCAAATAAAATACTTTAAACTTAGAAAATATTTCAACAGAAAAGCTGGAATTTATATGCTATAGTGTATGCTAACATGTGATTTTTTTTTTATAATTCTATTTAAATTAGGAAAAAGTTTACTTCACATGATGTTTCTCTCTGTTACTAACCCTATTTTAAAGCACCGAAAACAACAACAAAAAACCCCCACAACAACCCCCCCCAAATCTTGATTACCAAAATAGCATGTCATAGGTTCTACATGAGTAAAAGCAACTGTGACCCTTTAAAGTAGCTTAAAATGACATATCAAGAGATTTCATTAGGAGGTTTTCATTCTTTTATTTAATTGTTTTGCATGTTTTACTTTAGTCATTGTTTTTAACTTTTCATACATTCAAGTTTATACTAGATAAGCAACACTAGGTAAGTAATCACCAAAGAAAAGATAAAGTTTGAAATACCTAAAGGTACCTATCTTGCAAAATTGTCAAGTTTCTATTTCCTATGTAAATCGTACAGGAGAAAGCTGGGATGAATGGGGAAGAGAGTTATGTTTTTAAGCTTTGTTTTGTCAGATACATTAGACCCCCTAGGTAACATATCTTTCTTTTTTTCTTAATAATAATAATAATAAATAATACATTAATAAATAACAATACAAGAATAAACTGTGTTTCCCATACTCAAAACCATAAACCTACTTTTGCCAAACCCTGTATAATCATGTATTACATTATTTTGTGTCTGGCTCCTTACTTAACATTATGATTATTAGCTTTATTCATGTTGCAGTTTGTCAAATATTATTTGAATATGCCACACTTTATATATCCATTTTATTGCTGATGGACACTGGGTCATATCCAGTTTAGAGCAATTACAATTAAGGCTGCAATAAACATCCTTGTAGATATTTCTTGGTACACA